TTGTTCATCTAAAGATAAGGACTTATCCCCTCACCTGTAGTGTCTTTAAAAATTTTTGTCTTACCTCAGGTTTTCTGAAGTTAGAATAACAGGTGCTTAGGTGTACATTTGATATTTATTTTGCTTTTTTTTTTTTCCCGAGCATCCTAGATCTGTAGTTTGTTGTCTGTCATTAATTTTGGGAAATTCTTCATCATTTGTACTTCAAATATGTCCTCTACCATGTTTTCTCTTTTTCTCTACCATTCCAATTGCACATTAGACTTGTTGAAATGATCCCATAGTTCTTGGACGTTTTCTTTATTTTGTTTTTCTCTCTTTACCTTTTAGTTTGACGAGCTTCTAATGACGCATCAAGTTTCATCAACTTTCCTCTGCAATGGCTTGTCTGCTAATGAGCTCATAGAACACATTCCCCATTTCTGTTACAGTGCTTTCATTTCCAGAATTTCCTTTGAGTCTTTCCTGAAGTTTTCATCTTTCTGTTTATAAAGCATGTCGTTTTCTTTTTCCATTACAGACCTTACTGTATTAATCAGTTATAGTCAAATTCCCTGTCTGGTGATTCTAAATCTTGTGTCACATCTGAGTCTGGTTATGAAGCTCATTTTGTTTAGATCCTATAAGTTGATGCATCAGGAATAGGAACTGAAGCAAACAGACCTTTGGTGTGGTGTGACTTTATGCTCATCCAGACAGGAGTTGGGTTGAGTTTAATGATTGCTGCTGTAGTTGCCAAAGGCACCCAGTCCTTCTAACATCCTTGTGATTGCCTCCCTTGTCACCTTTGGGTTTCCCCATGAACTCTACCTTCATCTGCTCCTTAAAGCTCCTGAGTAACTGTCCACTGTTGTTAGATAGGAGTCTATGAGAAGGCAGAGGAGTTTCTGAATACCAAACCCACAGATGCTCCTCCTGGACCGGGCCACATCTCCCAGGACTTTCTTACTCTCACTCGGGCCTATACTCAGCCTCCGGCAACTTGTCAAATCCCCATGAAGTGTTCCTGTCAGTTTCTGGGCTTTTCTGCTTCTGTTCCCAGTAAGCAGACCTTGGTGCGATCGTCTGTACTTGCCTTCCTCCTAAGACTTTGGGGTGGTAACCTGCCTTACAATGAAAATTCCCTAGGAAACCCAAGAAAACTCATAGGTTTTCAGTTTTGCTTTTCCCGTTCTAAGGACAAGAATGATAAACCTGCAGTCCTTCACAGTTTGGTGCTAAAACTTGGAGAAACAGGCCACTCCTACTTGAATCATTTGATAGAATCATTGTGGGCTTTAAAGATATTGTTGAGTTCAAAATATCAACTCTTGTAGAGTAAAATAAGCCATGAACCTTTGTGCTGACAGCTGGCTTCAACCCTCCTTCCTTCCCCACTTCCTTTAACCTCCATTTCAAATGGAAGAGAGTAGGGCTAAGAAATGTGGAAAGGTGCTCTTTTATACATTATTTGATCATTTAACTACCCCATTATAAAATAGCCTAGATAAAGTAAGCTTATTAAAACACCATTTGTCTTAGAAAACAAAAAAGTCAGAAGACCCCATTTTAAATTTTACCATTCAATACTTTTAAACACTGAAGCATGAGTTGGTTGAAATATTGGATTCCCCCCATCTCCCCCTACATCACAAATTTCCAGCTTCCTTATCATTTAACCCCCTGAGCCTGTTCCTCCCAAGAACTGAAGAACTAGTGGTAAAGATCCTCAGTGCTGAGCAAAACAGTGTTACCTGCATCCCACCCTGGTGCAAGTGTGTGCTGCCTTACCGGTAAACATCAGATAAGTCACTTGGCAGCATTTCATGTCCTTTTCAGTAACACAGTAACAAAAAATTACTGAACATTTACTATGGCCACAAATGTTGATAGTCCTTTTATCTATAATTTACTCATTCCTCACTATTGCTCTTGGAGGTCGGAAAAACAGGAGCTTTGCCTAAAGCAAGGTGGAGGCAGAACTCCAACCCAAATCCAAGTGTGGCTCCTGTCCTGTGATTTCCTAATCTGCTCCTTTCAGATGCAGAACATCAGTATGTAACAAACACCACTCTGGTTCTTGCCTTTACCCTGGGAATAGCCATTTGCAAGTTCAAGTTAGGCATCTAACTTAGCAGTTACATACTTACTCCATACAACTCTTAGATTCCCCCAGTGGCTGTCACTCCCACAGGGAGAGACTATAAAACCTCTCACTAGTGAGTCTGCCACAGGGACTCTAGTGAAAGAAAACCCTTTGTGTAGAAACACGAATGAAAGAACATGTAATAATTTTATCAGCTTACAAATGTTTGGATGAATGAGTGAATGAATGGATGGATGAACAAATGACTGAAGCATCTCTCAGTGTGATGACGAGTGCATCTGGATGGAAGAAGCCTTTCCAAACATCACAGAGTCCTCAGTTTTTCCCTGACATAAGTTCCAGTGGAGCAGGGACCATATTGATCTTAGTCATCATTATTAAATTAGCACATGACTAGAACATGGTATATGCTTAATAAACTTGTCTTTGTTTTGATGGATTGAGGTAACTCCTTTGAGAACAAGTATTTCACCTGTGCTTTGGAGAATGTGTTAATAGTGCTCTCTCTCTCTCTGTGTGTGTGTGTGTGTGTGTGTGTGTGTGTGTGTGTCCTGTCTCTGTCTCTCTGTCTCTCTCAGCCTGTAGCGTTTTTCTGAGTAATTCCTACCCCTCTTTTTCACTTCCCACAATTCACATAGTTATGATTATAAACACCATTCCTCACCTCACATCCCTACCTGATTCTCCTGTGACTCAGCATACAAGTACCAGCAACATGAGGTTAAGAAAAGCAAACTGAGGTTGACTTAGTTGAATGAGACTCCTGCCCTCCCACTGGAAGTGATTTAGGGATCATCTCCTTTCAGAGACAGGAATATGAAGCTTTGCTCCAGTGCTACGTAAGCTCTCACCAACAGAGAGGCCTAGAGCTCATTTTCCTTCCTTTGGGGCCCAGGCAGCTAGCAGCATGTTCTGTGCCGCTGTGCCAGCTTTCATGAGTTCAATGCTGACCCTCCTTCAGAGCAAAGGTAGAGACTGAATACAAAAGGTAGAAAGCACATCTTCGTGCCTTTTTTCGGTTTGGTTTTTGTTTTGTTTTGTTTTTGTAAATCACAGGAGAGGAGAGCACCCCAAAATGCAAAGGAAGGCTCACCATCACCACCTTCTGGCCCACCATTGGCAATGAACCCAAGCAGGATTCCTTGTGGTCATGAAAGCCAATGGACCAGTGGGCTCCAGGATTGGTAGTGTTGCCCAACTCAAACCTGGACAGCTGAGCTGTAGTGTGAAGTAAGATGATGCTGAATCTATAACCCTGTGTTTAAAAAAAAAATCATAGAACTTGGACTTTAATCATAAAGATCATTTTGCCAAAGCATATTTTTAAAAGGCTGTGAAATATTATGCAACGTTTGCATGGCTTAATTATGAGTTTAGAAAAGCCTAGCACAACTTTTTCACTACAGTAAAACATGACAGGGCATGAATCATGGCATAATACTTTATGCTTAGTGTGGTTTTAGACATGGGGTTAGGGGTACTAGGTTGTCTACACAACAAGGCATGAATTACTATACCGCAATTCACACCCCAGAGGCCTTTATGACAATTATAAAACCTCTTTTGTTTGCTCTTTAAGTGATTAAAATATTTGAGCACTTTATGTTCATTTTGTAAGTGTGTTTATCGGGAACATAGGCATATGTTATAGAAAATGTCTAAGTGTATGGATTTTTTTTTTTTCCCTACTTGGAGAAAAATACTTCAAGTAACTGGGAATTTGGGGCCATCTCCTGTGTCTCTCTCTCCAACTCTTGGAAATGCTGTAAGATTACACAAGGGCTCCACCTGTGTCAGGACACTTACTTTTCTACTAAATTTAATGTGAAGCAACTTCCTTATCCCTCGTCATCTCTTCAGATCCTCTGAGATTTGGAATGAAATCAAGACTTCATTTTACTATTAGATTTCAAAGATTCCAAGTTAAAGTGTTTGTCCAGGATCTACCAAGGTTTCAATGCTTCAATTTTCAGTTGTTTTCAAGAAAAGAAAGAAATGGACCAATGAAGGGGGCCAGCCTGGGTTACATAGCAAGATCTGTCTCAAAAAGTAAGAAACAACAGAAAACACTGACAAATCTGGGTGTCAAATATTTTTTCTTCTTTTTTTTTTGTTTTTTTTGCCCCGGTCATTTGAAGCCAGACTTTGGGCTCTGCTCTGTCCCAGGCCCTTTAGGTTGGCAATCTATAATATTCTCAAAAGCTTTCCCTTTAAAAAACTTCAGGTCTTGAGAAGGACTTTAATGGCACAGCCCCACTGTTGGGCCTGTGACCTGGTCACTAGAGCTCACTCCCAGTTTCCTACCCAGACCGTCTTTGCTCTGGGGGGTGGGGAGGTGCTTTATTTTATCTTTTATTGTTATCATTATTATTATGTCTACCATCAATTCAGGGACAGTGTTCACCTAAGTAGAAAATATTTAAAAGCCCATGGGATATTTTTGCCAAGGTACCCACCATCCAAATCCCCAGACTTTATGTTCTTTTTGCTTACTGAACACAGAAAGGTGATCACCTAGTCTACAAATTATTTCTGATAATGCGAATTAGAATTCTTGGCAAAGCTGGAATCATCACATTTAGTGCCTAAAGTTATCAAGTGCCGAAGTCCAGTATGAACCAGTCCCCTCATTTGTACAGAAAAAGAATTTGGATGGAAGAATTATCAGACAAAAATCTCCAAAAATCAAATGCAAATTGTATTTGAACATCTTTGGTTGCAGTGGAGCGGTAATCATCCAAAGGAGGCATCATATACTTGGCCTCAAGTAAGCTCATTAGACATGGATAAACAGGCCACTTACATGCATGTATAAATATTTAAATAATGATTACTAATTTATCATTAAAAGACTTTTTCATTGTTCAAAACCTACCCCAGTCGACCTATAACCAACCACCCTGATTCTCTACAGATACGAGGCAGATCCAGCCATCCCCACCATGGTCCTACGATCAGTCCTACCAATACCTGGGATCCATCACCTCTCCCTCCGTGCACCCAGCAACACCCATTTCGCCTGGACGTGCCAGTGGCATGACAAGTTTCTCTGCAGAACTTTCTAGTCGACTTTCAAGTAAGCCCTTGAAAACATAGTGGAAGGTTTGGGAGACTAGAGGAAATACAGGAAAGGGCTTGTAAACCATTACTGACTACAGTGCAGTTTACTGGCAAAGTCCTGTATCTCTGCTCTAAGTCCCATGCCTAAGCAATGATTTTTCTTGACACCCTAAGAGATGATGGATATGAAGGCAAAAACACCTTGGAAAAGTCAGTCTCTTAGACATCTGAGGATGGTGGTTGTGGGCAAATAATCTAAAAAGCCCAAGTAGCCAAAGGATTCTATTCCTTTGTTAAAGAAATAATCATGCCAACCGAATTATAGACCACAGGACTGGTTCATCCAGTGATGTGGTGGTGACTTTTCATGGACCCTATGTCCAGTACAATGGTATGCATGTTAGAATGGGAAACAAATATACCGGTACCAGGAGGAACGTTCCCAGCTAAGAGCTATGGAGACTGAGGTTAGAGAAACAGAGTGGAGAGCTCAGGTGTCATGGTTAGCATAATTGTTGTTAATATGAACTCATTAAATATTAGTCATTTAACCCATGAGCCCTTTGGGCTTGGCTCTCACCTTCCCTTGTGGGCAGAGAAATCAGAGTTACAGAGAAAAATTCTTTTGGGGAAGGCAGAAGAAACTTACTGTTTGGAGGCTTTGAAACTGGAGCTGAACCAAACCGTGAAACGACTTCAGAGAATCTCAGCCTTAGGAGGTCTGCAAACACACTTGCATGTGCGCAGTGGGGAGGGGGAGGATTTGCTTTTCAGCTCTTGGAGCAGCTTATGGGGCAGGCAGAGGGGCAAAGGGCTCCTGGCTGCCACTTGAAATGCTGTGAAAGGTTGTGGCTCTGATAGTCACAGTTGCCTGAGATTTCACCAGCTGTGTTAGCTTCCCCCAGAATTCTTCCTGCCCACTGCAACTCACCAGTCACGCGCAATTCACCCCACTAGCCCTGGCCCCACTTCTTGGAGCAATGGTCTGACATTTGGGGTGTGGAGAAGCTGTCCTATGTCCTGGAGAATATTTAGCAGCATTCTTGGCCTCTAGTTGCCAGTGGCAATTCTCCAAGTATAACAATCAAAAATGTCTCCAGGGCTAAGTCTGTGAAGTTCTTACCTTGCAAACATGAGGACCTGAGTTCAGTCCTCAGAGCCCAGGTAAAAGCAAGGCATGGTGGCACAGGTTTGTAATCCTACCACCAGGGAGTGTTACCATAGGTGAGTCCCCAGGGCTCCCCAGGTACCCAGCCTAGCCTAACTCACAAGTTCCAGACCAGGGAAAGCCCTGTCTCATCCAGGCTTGGGCAGGGCATGCCTTTAGTCTCAGCACTCAGGTGGCTGAGGCAGGCAGATCTCTGTGAGTTCCAGGAAATCTTGATCTCTATAGTAACACCCAGGCCAGCTGGGACTACATGGAGACCCTATCTCAAAACAAAATAAAAAGTTGGATGACTCCTGATTAACAAAACCCAAGGTTGACCTCCAGCCTCTACACACTTGTACACCCACGTGTACTTAATGTCTATACACACAGGAACTCCTACATAAAGACACCCCTACATACACAGACACACACAAAATATATCCAAATGTTGCCACCCCTCTACAGGGAGGAAACTGCCCGTCCCCCATCCCCCACCCCCCAGCTGAAAAGCTAAACCTTCAATGGTTCCTTGGTACTTTAGTGAAATAGGAAAACCAACTTAGCAGGTGTCCGCCTGACTTCCAAGCCAACATGCACCTGCTAGTCTGGGGAGCTGGGGGAGCAGCCGAGGAATTATGGCACCTGTTCAGCTGACTGCTTGTAAAAGCCTGTCCCTGGGGGACACAGTTTGATTCCAGTGACATCTGTCAGCTTTTACTGATTGTTCTGTCCACCAGCCACAGTCTGTGCTTAAAACAGTTACCGAAATCTCTACACTGTGGGTCTATCCCTTGACATTTATTACATAAGTCCTTCAACTTGATCACCACCCAAAATTGGCACCTCACAGTCTAAACTGTAGGAGCCAGCTCTTCTGGCTGACCAGTACTCTAATGTAAGAGTGGCTTTTTAATATAATATTTTGTATTAATTCTTTAGAAAATTTCATACAAGTGTGCAATATATTTAGCTCATATCCACCGTTTTCCCCCTTGAACTCACCTCATTATATCTTCCTCACAAGTTCATCTCCTTATTTATTTATATTTAACCCACCAAATCCAATTAATATTATCCATATAAACATGGGTGTCGGGTCATCCACTGGGGCATGGGCAACCTACCAGCGACCAAATGCCCCCTCCCTCAGAAAGAATAAGTAACATGTCCAAATCACAATTATGTTTCTGAGTAACCCAGACTTCAGCTACCCAAGCAGTAAGGAAGGGTGGTGCTTTATGACACAGGAATGTGATAGAAATCAAAACCACAACCCATGTCAGCACCCAAAAATGACTTTCTGCTGTCATGGAGGGAAGACTAGAAACTCCAGAGGTGATATCATCAGTGTTGGGGAAGGGCCTGGGAGAGTGGTCTTCAACTTGGCAGGGCTCCCTCTGAGAAATAAAGCCTGGAGCACAGGCCTGAAAAGTGTTGTCATAAACCTGGGATGGGAGGGGGTTGGGGTTCATGAAAGAAAGTCGAACCTTTTAATCCCACCCACAGCCCGGTGTGCTGGCCCTTTCCTTACCCCCAGTCCTACCTGGCCTTGCTTCCATGCTGGGGACTTGGACTCTGTCTCTGTCTTTTGCAGACAGACTCCATAGCTTCTCTGAAAGGAGTTGTCATCCAGAGGTTTACTTTTCTTCTTCTTTTTTCTTTTTTAAAAATTCATGTTTAGCTACCAACCTGGGCGACAGGCAGCATTAATCCAAATCATGAAAAAGATCCTTTTAAGGCAACCATTATCTGCCCACATTGTTCAATCCTTTGGGGGCAGTGGGAGGGGCCCCGGAGTGGGCGGCTTTCATCCATCAGGCTGTAGGCTGTATGGACGAAGACTGGGGCTGTAGTGGCAAATATTTAGCACCATCAATGGGGAAGCACTTCCAAAGAAACTACCTGAATCCTAAATCCCCAGATTCCCTTCCTTAAAAAGTTCCCTATGAATAGCAGGGATCCCTTCCCTGGCTCACACTGATGCTGAGTAAGGGGGGATGGGTCACCAGGCTAGCCAGAAGGACAGAGGAGTCAGAGCTAGATGATGGGAGGATTGGGTGGGATTGGTTACAAGACTTGTCAGACAAGACTTAAAAATGAAAACAAGCATTTGAATAGAGTACTTGAATTTAGCCATATCTAGAGGACCTGAGTCAGAGAGAGAGAGAGAGAGAGAGAGAGGGAATATGAATGAATTTGATCAAAAGCATGTTCTGTAGAATGATGCCACTACACCAACAGGGGAACTGCAGCCAGAATTTCAGATCTCCGAGACATTCTGTCCACAGTGCAGAAACTGTCTCCCCGACAGCTGAGACTGTAACACTATCCCAGCACTTTTGCCCATGACAAATCACGGACTCACTCAGGATTTCAGTAACTTGGTACCATCACCACATTACCCTGTAGTCATTGGAACAGACTGGCCAAGCATGCCCAAGCATTGCTGTGAATCAGGGTGACCTTCCATTCATTTTTCCAGTGGATTCACCTTTTTGTCTTAGGGCAAATGAAGCAAGAGGAATATTAGCTATAGGCATTTGTGTGCACAGCATTGCATTGTATTTTCCCAGTGCCTTTCTTTTACCTCGACTTCTCTCTAGACTATATAAGTCTAACTGGAAAAAAAAATGGAGTAAAACTTCTTGTTACTTCACAAACATGTCACAGCTCTCCATGTAAGTGACACAGGGCTTGTTCACAGATGGCCCCAGTGAAGGGGCAGGGATGAACCCTGTGGAATGAGGTGTGGCCTGGCTGGAGAAGAAGCTAGAGAGAGGCCAAGCCAGGGCAGCCCTAGAACCACTGTCAGTTTACAACCTTTTCCCTGCCCACATGTCTGACTTGCTTTGAAAAGATTAACAGGAGTGTTTGTTTGAGAGTCAGAGTCCTGGTTTCCTCATTAGCAGAGGGATCTGCTGCAGACTTGGGCTGTTTCTATAAATTCTAATTACCTCTCTGATGAGGAGTACTTTCTCACATTCACCCCAAAGGTACCCAAGAGTTCCTGTTTTAAAAAATGTGTTAGTGTAATAAAAGATCATTAGAAGAGAGAGAGAGGGAGGGAGGGAGGGAGGGAGGGAAGGAAGGAGGGAGAGAGGGAGGGAAGGAGGGAGAGAGGAAGGGAGAGAGGGAGGAGAAAGAAAAGAACAGAGGGGAGGGAGGGAGGGAGGGAGGGAGGAGAGAGAACAAGAACATGAAAACTAGCTCTCCCTACTGGAATAATAGGCTTAAAATATGAGTAAGCTGACCAACAGCTGATGCCTTCCAAAAACAGATTAGTCCACCCAGGTTGCTTTCCTTTCACAGCAAGCTTTCAGAAACCCTCACGTTTCTCTGCATCAGCCTCGACGGGTCATCCGAGCTCAAAATTATTTTGTATGTTGATCTGAGAACTTAAAATTTGGAACATTCAGTTCTTGTCTCTGCTCTGTTGGTATCTTTGGGTGTGCTGATGCAACCACTCCAGTCCTGGCCTGCTCTTTGATGATTTGAAGGGACAGAAACTACCCCACAAAACACAATCCTAATTTACAATGCTGGTTCTCAGCCAGAAACGACTGTGCCCCCTCACACCCACTCTCAGATTATTGGGCAATGTCCGGAAGTATTTGGGGATGTCACAATGGGGAAGGGGCACTACTGGCATCCAGTGAGTAAAGGACAGAGATGCTACCAAGCATCTCACAAGGCATCAGTCAGCCTCCAGCCACCTCTAGGTCTTTCTCAAATGCAGCATGTAGGTGAGCAACATGCAAAGGGACACGATGAACCACAGGATGACAGCCAAGGTCAGTTCGTATAGCTGTAAATTCAGTCGTAACAAAATGCATTTTGCAAGGGTAGTTTCTCATTTCTGGTAAAGTTTAACATGTGCAAAAATGTAGATAAAAAGTTCCTATATCCATTTGTGTTAAAACTAGTGAAACAGGTGCTAAAGGGATTGGTCAGTAGTTAAGAGGGTGGCCTGCACTTGCAGAAGGGGGTGAGTTTGGTTCCCAGCACCCATGTATGGCATCTCACAACCACCTGGAACTTGAGAGGCTCCTACACCCTCTTTGGGCCTCTGGACATCTACACTCAGGTGCACAGATAGATACATACCCATAATTAAAAATAAAGCTTAAAAAAGACAAATAGTGAAGCACATGATAGAGGGAAAAAAGCCTGAAATCTAGGCTGTAGTGTTACGGCAGACATGGAATGAGTTGGAAGGTAAACAGAGAGAAAGCGATACTCATTCACCAACATTCACTCTGTCACTTCCGTGGCTGTGTTATGGCAGATAATGGTAAGTGAGCCAACTTTCCACAGTTCAAAGCCTACAAAAATGACAGTTTTCCATGAGCCAACCTAACTACTATGTGCAATGTATTATAATACTCTTATATTTATATTATGCATACTGTATTCTGCTGGTAGTAATATATCAATGCATACCTCAATTACCATAATGTTATGTCACTATATATTGTTATATTAAGACTGATATGTCAATGTACTGATTATATTATCAGTATATTAATTGGCATTAGCATTTTAATGTAAATAGAGGGTAGGTAAAAATTTTTCAGTAAAGGACTAAGGAATAAATAGTTATGCTTTGAGGACCCTGTTATCTCTGTTTTGATCACCCAGTCTCACAGTGGTCATCACAAAACACCCATGACAGGCGACACAGGACTGGGGCTGTGTTCCAGTTTATACATATAGACAACAAACTTTGAATTTCCTATAGTTTAAATATCAGTAAACATTATTCTTCTTAAGCTGCGTATGATAGCTCACATCAGTAATCCCAGCACTCGAGAGTCTGAGACAGGAGAATCACCAGGCCATTGAGGACATTTTGAGGACATCTCCTTCAAAAGTGGCTATAATATTTTTAGGTTCACAGTTGAATTATTACTGTGACACAATATTGTACTCAGTATAAAAACTCATTCTTCATTCCTACGACATTAAAAAAAAAATTGGCCCCATGGGTCTGGAAGGATGGCTCGGTGATTAAACGCACTGGCTGCTCTTACAGAGGACCTGGGCTTGAGTCCCAACACCCACATGGCAGCTGACAACTGTCTGTAACTCCAGTTCCAGGGGATCCAACACCCTTTTCTGACCTCTGCATGCATTGCATGACACAAGTGTAACTACATGCATGCAGGTGATGCACTTATACACATAAAGTAAAAACAGTCAGATTTGGCTGATGGGCTACAGTTTGTCGACTTGTAATTATAATATTTATGTACATTATACTGTCCCTGTACTGTTCAGGGACCCATATAATACATATACCATGTAATTTCTTCAATCACATGTCACACTGCATGACACCCTACATGCACTGCTACACATTTTGCACACTATATTATTTTTGGATAACTGGCATCCTCCATAGAACCCCTTCTTGCTGAGCAGCAGCTTTCTGGGTAGAATCCCATCTTCCTGGGCAGAGGCATTCTGGGTAGAACACCATCTCCTTAGGGGGCAATGTTGTGGTTAGCCCCTCATTCCCCCTAGGGCAGCATTCTGAGTAAGGACATCTCTTGAGCCAGGACATTCTAAGTAGGCCTCCACTTCCTGGGCAGGAGATTTCTAGGTGGCCCCCATCTCTGGACAGGAGCCCTCTGGCTAGTCCCCTACTCCCTGAGGAGGAACATTCTGGTTAGTCTCCAACCTCCTGGATAGGAACATTCTGGAGAGGTCCCAGTTTCTTGGTAAGAACATTCTAGGAATTGCCCTCTACTCCCTTGCACAGGAGCATTCTGGGTAGACCTCAGCTCTTGGTTAAGAGCATTCTAGCTTGTCCCCTACTTCCTGAATAGGAACGTTCTGAATGGTCCCCCATTCCCTGGGCAGAGGCTCTCTGGATAGCCCCTTACTTATGGGCAGGGGAACTCTGGGTAGTCCCCGACTTTGGGGCAGGAGCATAGTCCTCCTCACTCCCTGAGAAGAAGCACTCTGGTAGTTTTCCCCATTCCTAGACAGGAACATTATGGATAAACCCTCACTCCCAGGACAAGAGCACTCTGGGTAGTCCTCATTCCCTGGGCAGGAGCACTCTGCTAGTCCCCACTCCCCGCACACAGAGGCCGTGACCTCCCCCGCACCCCCGCCACGACCCACCCACTCACAGGATCTTTTCTCCCTCGCCACAGCAGCCCCAGATCTGACAGCCTTCGGTGACCCGCGCCAGTTCCCTGCGCTGCCCTCCATCTCCGACCCACGCATGCACTACCCCGGTGCCTTCACCTACTCCCCGACACCTGTCACGTCGGGCATCGGCATCAGCATGTCTGCCATGAGCTCGGCCTCACGCTACCACACCTACCTGCCACCGCCCTACCCCGGCTCCTCGCAGGCTCAGGGGGGGCCCTTCCAGACCGGCTCACCCTCCTACCACCTGTACTACGGTGCCTCTGCCGGCTCCTACCAGTTCTCCATGGTGGGGGGCGAGCGCTCGCCCCCACGCATCCTGCCCCCCTGCACCAATGCATCCACCGGCTCCGCGCTGCTCAACCCCAGCCTGCCCAGCCAGAGCGACGTGGTGGAGGCCGAGGGCAGCCACAGCAACTCGCCCACCAACATGGCACCTGCCCGCCTGGAGGAGGCCGTCTGGCGGCCCTACTGAGGCGCCCACTGTGGGACTGAGTCGGTCTTCCCTGCAGCCCGGGCTGCACCTGCCGTCTATGCATAGCGAAGTCTGGGCTCTTGCCCACACAGAGCATCCTCCCTGTGGCCCATCCGCAGGTCTCTCAACCCGGACACAACTAAAGGGTGTCCACTAGATCACCGCCAGGCAGACACGTTGGAAGACTAACAAGAAGATTTCCAGAGGGAAACTGAATGCTTCGGATTTAGCAATGCTGTGAATAAAAGAAAGATTTTATACCCTTGACTTAACTTTTTAACCAAGTTGTTTATTCCAAAGAGTGTGGAATTTTGGTTTGGGGTGGGGAAGATGCAGCTCATTCTTATTTCTGAGTTTCTTTTCCGCACCTTACAAATTGCAAAATGCATATTTGCTTTTGGGCAGTCTTTATTTTTAAATATGTATAAATTTGAGCTTGCTTCTTTCTTGCTTTGACAACTGAAAGAAATATGATTCCCTTTTCTGTAAGGTTTATTTAACTTTTAGACTTTTGTGTAGCTGTTTTTTCTTTTTGTTTGT